TGTATATATATATATATATATATATATATTAATATCACATGTTTATCCATACGGATTTACATATACATACACGTGTATATATTCCAGATGTTAATTACTCATTACTTGAAAACGAGGCTTACGTTCCAGACGTTAAGTGTTTAGCACAGATATATGACATATATTACATATTGTAAGTGTTAGGTACTGATCTCGTCATCGTCCTTCTCAAACTTGCTCAAAACGAACAAATTGGAGGTTAATCAAAGATTTTTCCTATTGTAAAGATTGTTTGTTTACAATTAAGCACAAAGCTACACAATGGGCTATCTGTGCTCTGCCCACCACGGGTATCGAAACCCGGATTCTAGCGTTGTAAGTCCGCAGACATGCCGCTGTGCCACTGGAGGCCTATTGTAACGAGAAAATATTTATATTTATTTTTTTTTGTCCAATCAACAAATTAGTACTGGGACGATTACGTATATTGCATAATTTTATTGTCCACTAAAACTACAGGTCATCAATATTGTTACCTTTACTTTGAGGAATCATAAAAAACACCGAAAAAAAAAAGCCATGTATAAATACTGATCGCATAGTTTTTATATGAATATATATAAATAATGCAAAGAATAAAACTTGCAACTCTTTTACTGTTATATTGGTTTCAAGAGTGAGTAATTAACACCTTGAATGGATTTTCAAGTATATGGATACCTAGATTCCGAAAGATGACAATATTATATCTTATTTTAGTTTCACTTTACCGAAAACAACCAAACCACACTGACTACGTTGCTATTATGCGTTATATTAATATATTCACAATTAAATTCTTCACTAAATTCTAATAAATTAATAATTTGAGAATAAAATATAAATGTCCTTCTGTATTAATCTCTAACTGTCGATGAATCGAAGTTTCAAATCTGAAGTTTTATTGTTTAAACTCACAGAAACCTTTCTATATATATATATATAAATCACGTAAAAGAATAATATAGTCTTATAGAGTTGTTTACACATATGCCCATGTTTTCAGACCACACAGCTATTTTCTGTGTATATATATGCCCACGTTTTCTGATCCCACAAGTATTTTCTGTGCACGCTTGGGTCTGCATTCCAGATAAATCGCATTCCTTTATTTCATACAAGTTTACTCGCAATCTGAGGGTCGCGGGTTCGAATTCCCGTCCCACCAAACATGCTCGCCCTTTCAGCTGTGAGGGCGTTATAATGTGACGGTCAATCCCACTATTCGTTGGTAAAATAATAGCCCAAGAGTTGGCGGTGGGTGGTGATGTCTAACTGCCTTCCCTCTAGTCTTTCACTACTAAATTATGGACGGCTAGCACAGATAGCCCTCGTGCAGCTTTGCGCGAAACTCAACACAAACAAACAAATCATTCAGGTCTTTAATGGTTTATAACACCTGGCGTTGTCTAGGGTTTAATGTGTCAGGCTAAGAGATCGAAAGGTCCAAGGTTTGAGAAGTGATGCTACTCAATACGCGCATTATAAAAGTGGCCCGTTATTTGGTACAAAAAGCCCGACATAGCCCTCACAGCGACGGGTGTTGATGGCTGGCCTGCATCAAGTTAGTCTAAAAATGTCATACCAACATCCATTTAAGATTCTTTATTAAATACTAACTGGAGTACCCGTCCCCTGGACGGAAGTTATGTAAATTCACGATTAATGAAAGGTTATCTTAGGACATGAAAAGTTGCTCCCCTTATATGTTATTGTAAAAAAGGCCCATAAAAACTGCAAAACACAAAATGTGAAACTGCAAGTTTGCATGTATCTTCCCATGTACCTAATGAATCTCCATACCAATTTTTGCCATCCTGCGAAGTAGCTACATGGACATGTAACAAACAGTACTATTATATTTATATAGATTTGTAAAAGTTTGTTGACTATTGGGGAATAAACTGAAATCTCTTTTTTTTTTTCCTTTTTTTCATTTCCTTGAATTTGAAGATGTAGTAATATGATAACAGTTATTCTTATCTAACATTTATTTTTGCAATGTACAATTTGTTATCTCATATTTCAAGACAAAAAAGAGTACTTCTCAGCTTCGTGCCTCAATATCCACTGTTTTACTTAAACAGGATTACTACATCTCACTTGAGTATTGAACCTGCAATCATTCCTAATCAGGAACTTATATTCTTCGTATTAAAGAAGACAATGAGTGGGAACAGACCAAATGTATGTTTTTGTTTTGTTTTGTTTAAAGGAAAGAAAATAATAAAAAAAAAGGTAAAATAAGAATAATTATGACTTTGGTTAAGATTCTTTGCACGATTGCTTGTTGTCCGGGTCATATATCTTCTGT